TCATTTCCAATTCAATGATATTCAAAACTGTTTGAAAGTTTGGGGTCTGTTAGATTTGTTAAATATTTTTGAAATAAGTCTCTTCTGCTCACTAAGGCTGCATTTATTTGGTCAAAAATACAGTAAAAACAGTAATATTGTGAAATGTAAAACAGCGGTTTTCTATGTGAATATACAGTAAAGTGTAATTTATTCCTGTGATCAAAGCTGAATTTTCAGCATCATTACTCCAGTCTTCAGTGTCACATGATCCTTCAGAAATCACTCTAATATGATGATTTGATGCTCAAGACACATTTTTGATTATTATCAATGTTGAAAAAAAAAAAAAAATTGACAGATTTTTTCAGGATTCTGAATGTAATAATAAAAACCAAACCTTTGAACAGTGGTGTATATTTTAAAGATAATTTTACCTTCGGACATATACAGTTAGGTATATGAATTGATCCCCCACATTGTGGCTTGTCACATTGTCCAACAAGTTTTAAGCTTTTCTTCAGAAGACGAGGACGTCCACGCAGAGCAGGACCGGTTTCAATCGAACAGCACGCGCTCAGGTGCCGGAGAGCCAAATCACTTTCCTGTCAAGTCTGTTTCTCACTGCAAAAGCTGCAGGATCATCTGCCAACAAGCAGCCTCTGGTCCTCAAACATACAGCACTGTGTACAGCTTTAAAAATGAAGACAAAAGCCTCGCTGTCAACCATCTACAAAACACAGAGTATTAAAAACAATTTGAATCATTCAAAAGTTTGAGGTCAGTAAGATTCTAATACTTTCATTCAACAAGGATGCATTAAGTTGATCAAAAGTGACAGTAAAGATATTTATAATGTTACAAAAGATTCTAGTTCAAATTCAAATTCTTTTTCAATAACATTGATAATAATCATAAATGTGTGAAATCATTAGAGTGATTTCTGAAGGATCATGTGACACTGAAGACTGGAGTAATGATGCTGAAAATACAGCTTTGATCACAGGAATAAATTACACTTTACTGTATATTCACATAGAAAACAGCTGTTTTAAACTGTAATAATATTTCAGGTTTTTTTACTGTATTATTGATCAAATTAACAGCCTTGGTGAGCAGGAGAGACTCCTTTTAAAAAAAAGAAAAATCATACTGACCCCAAAATTTCAAACATTGTTTGACGTTTAAAATCGTCAATGAACTTTAAAATGCATGAGGTCAAATTATAACCAAGAACTTGCATTAAAAGTCATTTTTTCATTTAAGGTGATGAATAACACTCTTATATTTTAATGACTAGAGCAATGGATCTTACCGTTTCAACTTTTATGCATTTGGGCTTGTTTTATATAAATTAAATCACTTATATAAAGCAAGTCCAAATGCTATAAGTTGAGCCTTTTTTTCTAGCCAAATCAATTAATGTAATCTGTATTTATGATACTTTTCAGATAAAATTTTCGATGACCAGTTGAATATAGTCAATTTCCTTTGTCTAAAAAAAAAAATATTGCACTTTGGTTCAAATTAAATTCGCATTAAAGCAGATCTGGCAAAATTTTGACTCTGATACACCTAACTTCTAAAAATACAAGTTCACGAGCGACTCCAAGCCGCTCCGAGGATGTCCGAATCACATTAAAAACACATTAAAGTTGCTGGGATGAAGACTTACTTCTTCTCACACACACATTATTTCCTCCTTTTTCTGGCAGTGGTGATTTTGGGCTGAGGGCACGTCTGGTAGCAGCCGCTCATCAACACCCCCGGCTCACACAGATCTCACATCAGTCCTGGAGTCGGCTCAGACACACACTCTCACACTGTCTGCAACGCAAGACTGTCATATACATGCACTGCTCTTTTCAGAAGACTTCACAGTCACCGGCTCTTTCTATCAAAGCAGTGACGCTCAAGAGGAATATAATGCTACTAATAAACCTTAGTCACCATAGACAGACGCCATTTTTATTTTGGTGTGAACAAAACAAGCCTGTCGTTTTTAAACGGGCTTTACTCCAATTTTTTATTGATGTCATAATAAATATGGCCTTGTTAGAAATCAATCCTCAGCCTTATAACATTCAGGGAGGATCTGACCAGCAAGCAAGCCTCGAAAAGAAGCAAAAAGCACCTTGTTTTTACATGCATAAAGAGCATGCAGTTATTATAAAGTGTTACCATATATATATATATACAGGTGAAACTCGAGGAAATTTGAATATCGTGCAAAATCTCATGCATTTCAGTAATTCAAATTAAAAGGTGAAACTAATATATTTAGTATATAACTATGCATGATTATACTTTTCAGAGGTATTTAAAATCTTTTTTTTTTTTTGATTTCATGTAATATTCTATATAATTTTCTGAGATTTTGAATTTGGGGTTTTCATAAGCTGTAGGACATAATCATCAAAATTATAACTTTTGCTAAATTGTTATATCAACATATCATATCAACAAAACATCAAAATTGTTTCATTAAATGCATTACTTGCCCTTTCTTTGTAATTATTTGTGATATTCACCCGCAATTTCTGAGTGAAAACTGTATCAAAGTAATAGTTGCAAATTAATAAAGGTGCATATTTTTACCTCGTGTAAAACAGACACTCATCAACATATTGCATTTTGCTTTGGATCCTTCTGTTCAAATCAGCATTGGGCGGCCGGGTATCGATTCAGATGGTCCAATTCTATTCGATTTCGATTCAAAATTCGATTTGACTCAATGAATATAGATTTAATACAAATCCTATAAAAAATAAAGAACGGTGAACATAAGTTTACAAGTGGTTAATTGATAAAAAGATATTAAGAGCCACAAACCTGTATATTAAACTCTTTTTATTTGTGTGCATTAAAACCCAACTTCAAATGCATATGAATAGACAGGATTTTGATGCAAGATGAAAAATTGATTGAAAATTGTCAGAACAGTCGCATGCCTTGATCAATCAGGATCAGGTTATTTTATGTTTAAGATAAAATTATAATAATATCTCACAGCATTCGCTGTAACAGAGCAGTGGAGGAAAACTAATACTGGCTTTTGGGTGATCGATAAATAAATCGATGTGTGCCTCTGAGAACCGATTTTGAATCAATCACATTTTAAAAAACGATTAATCGAAAAATGGATTTTTTTGCCCAGCCCTAGATGGTACATTGATAACTCTGTCATCATCTGCACTTGATTATACATTTATATATCACAAAATCTTTCAGACTGTTGACGTTTGGCTTCATACGCCACAAGGCATTTCCAATAGAAACTCCTTTAAAAAAAGCACAGTCCGCTCCAGTCACACTCGTTTTAGCGCACTGAAACATTGTTTCACTCATTTTTGGTATGAATTATTAAATGGAGGTCTTTGGCCACTTGTTGCGTCGCACTGATTTCCGGCTTTCTTCCGCGTGATGTCACAGGAACAGCCGAAGTAGAAAAATCTGGAAAATGGCTATCAAATTTTATTTCAGTTTTAGTTTCAGGATTTTTAGAACTTCAACTTAAATTTTAATTTGAAAGTTTTAGTAATTCTATTGTGTTAAGTTTTAATTTTAAGTTTTTAAATGTCTATTTAATCTTTATTAACAAAAATTATTGGAGCATTATTGGAGTTTTCATTTTTATTAAAGATTTTTGCAGTTTTCATTTTTATTAAAGATTATTGCAGTATTCATTTTTATTAAAGATTATTGCAGTATTCATTTTTATTAAAGAATTTTTGAGCATTCGTTGGATCATTATTGGGGTATTATTGGAGTTTTCATTTTTTATAAAAGATTATAGTATTAATTAGAGCTTTATTGGAGTATTATTGTAGTTTTCATTTTTATTGAAGATTATTTGAGTATTATTGAGGTTTTCATTTTTATTGAAGATTATTGGAGTATTATTGAGGTTTTCATTTTATTAAAGATTGTTGGAGTATTATTGGATTTTAATTTATTAACAAAGATTATTGGAGTATTTATTTTTATTAAAGATTTTTGGAGTATTAGTTTGAGCATTATTGGTGTATTTTTGGAGTTTTAATTTTTATTAAAGCTTATTGGAGTATTATTGAGGTTTTCATTTGTATTGAAGATTATTGGAGTATTATTGAGTTTTTTTTATTAAATGATTGTTGGAGTATTATTGAGGTTTTCATTTTTATTGAAGATTATTGGAGTATTATTGAGGTTTTCATTTTTATTGAAAATTATTGGAGTATTATTGAGGTTTTCATTTTTATTGAAGATTATTGGAGTATTATTGAGGTTTTCATTTTTTTAAAGATGGTTGGAGTATTATTGGATTATAATTTATTAAAGATTATTGGAGTATTTATTTTTATTAAAGATTTTTGGAGTATTAATTTGAGCATTATTGGTGTATTTTTGGAGTTTTAATTTTTATTAAAGCTTATTGGAGTATTATTGAGGTTTTCATTTTTATTAAAGCTTATTGGAATATTATTTAGGTTTTCATTTTTATTGAAGATTATTGGAATATTATTTAGGTTTTCATTTTTACTAAAGCTTATTGGAATATTATTTAGGTTTTCATTTGTATTGAAGATTATTGGAGTATTATTGAGGTTTTTTTTATTAAATGATTGTTGGAGTATTATTGGAGTTTTCATTTTCATTAAAGATTGTTGGAGTATTATTTGATTTTTATTTATTAACAAAGATTATTCAAGTATCAATTGAAGCATTACTGGAGTATTAATGGAGTTTTCATTTTTATTAGCGATTATTGGAGTATTAATTGGAGAATTATTGGAATTTTCCTTTTTATTAAAGATTATTGGAGTATTATTGAAGTTTTCATTTTTATTAACAAAGATTTTACAAGTTTTACAAAAAAAAAATCAAAATTTCATGTTTAATTAAATATGTTACTTGCCGTTTTTTAGTAATTATTTCAAAAATGTACCAGTAATTTCTGAGTGAAAATTGTGTAAATCTCACACCAATTTCTTTTCAGTGTAGAGAGTGTAATGAGACAAATCCACTGTGTCACTGATTTCAGGGGGTCCTCAGGCGACATCTAACACCTGAAAGCGTGTGTGCGGCGGCGCAGGTTAGCAAGCGTTCTCGATACGCTGGAATAAACTAGTTGTAAAGTGCTGCGTTCACCAGCGAGTCTCTGTGGTCTTTCAGCCTTCACCCGTTTCCTCTAATGAGCTTCACTCACTCCTGACGGCGTTCAGCAGCCTTTAATAATTTGTGCTCTTGCTGCTGTTCTGAATGGCCTAGCTGAGCACTTTCTCTGGCATTCTGCTGATGGAACGACATCCAGAAGTGCTTATGATTACAAAAACCTCGTTTGACTCCTCCCACTTCCCCAATATTAGCTCGGCTAAAAAAATCTATAAATAAGAAAAACAGGAAAGGGATCGGAAATAAATAAGCCACAGCTTCATTTTCTCTGGGTGTTTTGCACCACTTAACACATATTGTGCAAATGCAACACACCCAGTTTGGCAGACGACGAGAACGAGGCGCGTTGTGTCAGAAGATCTGGGAGAGAAACTCAGGAGCCCAGTCCATGGCCGTCTGGGCCACCGCCAGCGCCGCGGCCCCCAGCGTGGCGGAGAGACCCCACACCGCCATCTTGATGAGCTGGTTCGTGTTCGCCGGCTGGAGGCTCATGGGAAGGGCCGGCGGGTGCTCCTGAAGCTGCTGGCGGAGGACCGAGTCTGGACGCTGCATCCGCGTGGACGACTGGAAGGCCGTAAAGGTGCTGATGGCGATTCTGACGAGAGAAACAGACAAGAGTGTTGCTTTAGTATCATTATTATGCTAAGTATTTATTTTGGAATTCGTTTTTTTGTATGTTGCATTTTCATTTTAGTCAGTTTGTTGAGGATTTAAGTCAAGTGTTATTTTAGTATCATTATTATGCTAATTTTTTCATATTTTGAATTAGTTTTTATATTATGCAGTTATAGTTAAAAGGTTTAGTCATTTTGTTGAGTGTTTAAGTCCAAGTTTTAAGTTTTAAACTTAAGTGTTTAAGTTTAAGTGTAATTTTAGTATCATTATTATGCTAATTTATTCATATTTTGAATTAGTTTTTTTATATTTTGCAGTTTCATTTTAGTTAAAAGGTTTAGTCATTTTGTTGAGTGTTATTTTAGTATCGTTGATATGCACATTTTAGTTTTATTAATAGTTTGAATTTTTATATTTACATTTTATTTGAAGTTTAAGTCATTTTTATTACTTTTTTTGGTGTAATTTATACATTTTATTTCAGTTTTAGTTTGTTATTTTGATTTCATGTCAGTTTTAATTTTAAAAAGTTTTAGTAATTTTGTTGCGTTTTTATCAGTTTTTTTTTTAAAATATGTCCAATTAATTTCTATACATTTTTTCTTTCAGTGCATTTCATTTAGTCATTTTAGTACATCAACTGAAACTAAATGGACATTAAACATTTTCAAAGTTGTGTTTTTGTCTTCTTTTATTATCTGTCCATTTAATTTCTACTTCAAATTAAACTGAACGAAAATGTGGAATTTTGTCTTCGCAACTAACTTTTTTAACATTTTATTTTTGTTCATGTTTGAATTTATTTCAATTAACATAAATGTTTATTTAAGTATTTTTTTTTTGTTTTAGTTACTGATAACATTGGTTTAAAACTAGACATTAGACTAGAAACTCGAAAAATTAGAATATGGTGCAAAAGTTCATTTATTTCAGTAATTCAACTTAAAAGGTGAAACTAATATATTATATAGACTCATTACATGCAAAGTGAGATATTTCAAGCCTTGATTTGTTATAATTTTGATGATTATGACTTACAGCTGAAAACCTTTTCACAATATTCTAATTTTGAATTTGGGGTTTTCATAAGCTGTAATCCATAACCATCAAAATTATAACAAATAAAGGCTTGAAATATCTCACTTTGCATGTAATGAGTCTATATAATACATTAGTTTCACCTTTTAAGTTGAGTTACTGAAATAAATGAACTTTTGCACTATATTCAAATTTTTCGAGTTTCACCAAGTATAATGTTTTGTGTTAATGGACCGTATCTTTAACACTGTATCCTAACCAGGCGTGACACACGTTGAGCGTCATCATGTAACTTTAGTCTTCACTGAGAGAGAAATGATGCATGAAGCCACCAAATTAATATCTAATTAAACAGATTTGATGTTTAAAATCAAGATTTGTAACTTCCAAGTGAACAGATAAGAAAAGAAACAAACACTGTTTTCCTTCAGAAAAACATGACCATGCACAATAATAACAGGAAAATAATGTGGAGCCAGACTGTGGACCAATGACATTCAACGACAGAAATAGAAGCCAAGCGACCGGCAAAAAGGGCACATTAGACGCCTGGTTTAGTGAACAACAGCAAGAGAAGAATAACTGGGTGAATCACCAGAACAAAAGAACGAGGGAATTGGAGTGAGAGCGGAGCCATGGCCTCTAGTCCTGATCGGAGACACGGATAGATCCTCATTTCTGGAGTTTTCCCAAAATCCAGCGGAGCCCATGCTGAGGGCTACACGAATCTGCCTTTCTCTCGACAGTTTAGAGGAAAAACATCATTAAAAAATCATAAAATATTCAATTCCATTTCATTACGGTCTCTATGGAAGAATAGTAAACATGGAATGCAAATGCCTTTCACTCCAGATAATAAAACAGGCAGAAACACATTCAACATTTAATGAAAAAGTGCTAGAAATACCATAGGCAGGCGCTGACGGGCTCAACGTCTTCATTCGTTTTTATGCTTTTTTCCTCTCCTGCCTCTGATTCTCGGCTTTCCCCAGTTCTCATTAGTATCTACAGCTAATGCGCCACTGCTGAAAATAGCTGACAGGTAACAGCAGAGCAATTAACTTTTAAACTTTCCCTTTACCAGCGGAAGGCCCGGGAGAGCCAGTGGTTTGCGCTGACGAAACCCCAGTATAATGCAGTGACACAGGCCCGGCGGAGCGCTGTCACTCACACCCGCCTCAACCTTTAATGAAAGGATCTTTACGCAGCTCTTTCCCATTCAGTTCATCAGTCAGGTTACTAAAACCACCAAAGAACTCGTGCATCGTATCCGAGGTCTTCTGAAATCAAATATTAACTTTGCGTGTAAAGTGCAATTACTGTTTCTCATTTTCGCTTAGTTTTAGTACTTCAGCTTAAACTAAACCTTAAAGTCAATTTTCCTTGATCTTCTGACATATAAGAGGTCATTGTACTATAAAAAATATTAGTCCAAAAACTGCTTTATTGAATCCAAGCTGCCAAAACAACTCGTTTCAGATTTTGTCTCAGTATGACGTCATAGTCTCTGCAGAAGAAGGTCGACGCCCACTTCTACATCATTGCCACTTTAGCCCCGCCCATGATTCACGCATGTTCTGTAGTAGTAAATACAAAAGAGAGACGCAAAAACAATATTACTCTAGTAACAAAACCATAGAAAAGACGTTTTGTGGAAGAACAGTCCTTGCATTGCCATCCTTGTGATCCTAGAACATGAAGAAAGCGTGGATGAACTTTATTTTTAACGTAGTTCCAGTCAGAACGCATCAGTAAGACACTGTTCGTTTGTTCACTTCAATTCACTCGTTTTTAAACAAGACACATTTCACTTTACTGAGAAAATCATGAACGATGAATATAAGAATGACAGTCCGGCAAACAATGGTACATTCATTCATAATTCGTTTGCATGAAAAACCGTTAAGCTATCCTATTAAATATAACTGTGGCAACTCCAAGTACTTATGCTTTATAAATTTTGGCTGTGGCAAATAAAGCATATGTAATACGCATAAATGTTTCACAGTTGGCAAATGTTTAACTATGTAACGAGATAAACACCTTTCTGTAGCGTCTTCGTTTCAACATTATTTATATGAATAATATGAGTATTTTAATATTTGAGGTTTAGGTTTGTCTTCTGATTCAGGATCAGGCTCTGGCTCAAACATGTATGGCTGAATTTCACCGGTTGACTTTTTTCAACATTGGAAGTTTCAAAACAATTGAAAAACACGTGAAAAATATTATAATATGCAAAACTGTTGCCCAATCATAGCAGTGGGTGTTACTTCCAAGCCTATCGTTCGAAAGAGAGGGTCAAAAACAGGATAGAAAGTAGCGTATCACTTCTAAATTATTTTTGATGTAATAATCTTGCTACATTATAAGTGGACCTAAGAGAATTTTATAAAATAAAAAATGCAGTTAATGTTCCCATTAATTAAAATGATATAGACATAAAATGATACAAATAAAATATAATTCAAAATATAACTATAATAGCATATAAAGAAACACTGGTGCAAAAACCTAGTGATTGCTATGTACAATATTTACTGAAATCTTATTTGCAAAAATGGTGTCTGCACCAGGTTTAGACGTCATTGGTGCCAAAACAACTGATCCTCGTGAATATGGGGAATGAAGAATAACTTTCTTTGATCGTTTTCTCACACAAAGCTTCACAAGGCTTGCATATGGTCCTGTTTGTGGTGTTTTTGTACTTTGTGGAGCCTGTCAGACGTGAAACTAACTGCTGTTGTACGGCAAAAACCGGGAGAAATTTCTATTCAAAGCATTTACAGGTTTCGAAGGACACGAGGGTGAGCAAATAATGACAGAATTGTCTTTTTCTTGTGGGGGTGAACTGTCCCTTTAACTCGTAACGTAATCAGCTCTGCAGGGAATCTCTCTTCCTCCATCTTCAGAGATGAATCCTCGTCTTTGGTTCCTGCTCTCTTCAAGGTGGCACGTCTGACGGTCTTTGATCGCTTTTTCTCCCTCCCTCTTGTCTCTAAAACAGTTTCTAATTTTACCGTTTCCTCTCTCAGAAGCAGCAGATTGTGTGACCTCTGTCACATCAGTCTTCTGTTTTTCCTTCACCCTCTTCCTCTTGCTCAATCTGTTCTTGCTGTGGTGAAGAAGATACAGCAGATGATGGATGTGTTTACGCTGGAGGAACATTTCCACGGCTGCACTCAGTCAAACCATCACAACTCCACAGTCTTCACGGTAACCCTATCCTCATCTGCCTCCTCTCCGAGAGCCTTGTTCACATGCACGTGTGTTAGTGCATAAAATATGAGGGCAAACGTTTTATATATATATATATATATATACACAGGTGAAACTCAAAAAATTAGTTCATTTATTTCAGTAATTCAACTTAAAAGGTGAAACTAATATATTATATAGACTCATTACATGCAAAGTGAGATATTTCAAGCCTTTATTTGTTATAATAAACTATATAAATATCAATATATTTTAGGGGTGTAACGATACCCTCATGTCACGATTCGATACGATATTATTGCGATACTCCAAGACGTGATAAAAGGTTAACAAAAAAATGTTACTGTTGATTAAAATGCTAAGTTTGGTATTATATTGTGGTTGTAAATGAATCGGCTTGGACTTGGTGCTGGAAACCCAAAGCACAGGACAATAGAGACACCAGAATAACAATATTCATGATTCTGAAGATGAAAATACACAATTATTGTAGACGAATATGCTTGAACTCTTTCACTGGCTAGATATATTTAAAATTATGTAAGCCACTTTTTACAGGTAACATCAGACATTTGACATTATCAGGACCCACAATATTCCCCCATTGCTTTATTATACATTATATTCAGCATTATTATATATTTATAATAGCTTAATGTAGTACTGACACTAAAACTCTGTAAACCTTAATTTTTTCTCACAGCAATTTTCATTTTGGTTGAA